CCCCAAAACCCCAAAACCCCAAAACCCCAAAACCCCAAAACCCCAAAACCCCATTTGGAAGAGTTTTAGGTACTTAAAGGAGATATTTGGGAACAAAGCTTTAGACAAAGAGTATGTGAAACACTTCAAATCAAGTATCTATGAAAAATTAAGATGATGAAGTGCTCAAACTTATCAAACCTATTACTTTTCATACTACCAGTATTCTCTTTTTATAGCCTTTGGAGTTTTTGAAGTTAGACTATTGATGATTAATTATCAAATTCTGCAAAATTTCGACTAGTCCTTGCCATTAGAAGGGTTTTCCTTTTCTGTCTGCTCCTTTTCATAGAGGTTCTTAGCCTCTTTTCACTTGTATGGAGGTTCCTAAAGCTGGCTTGAGTGGTAAAGAGAGACATTCGTTTCTCTCTGATTTGTGAATTCATAGTCTTAGTTTCCATATTAGTAAAGCTATAGATTAGAGCATAGCAATACCTGTTATTCTTATTCTTGACAATCTCTCTCATTGTCCTACGAACATCCAGCTCATTCGGGTTCAAATTCCTCAAGAAGGATTTAAGATTCTTTGGTTGTAAACGATTATTTTGAGCTGAAATTTCGGAATTGTTTGCGGTAATTTGATACTCTAGCAATAATCTCTTTGTCTTTAGCCTTAGAATGCTCTGAGAATTTTTGCCATGCATCTGGATCACGCTTTAGGTAAGAAAGAAAGTCATTCATAGCTATACGATAGACTTCTCCAGCTGAGGAACGTCATTTTACAGCCACTGTAGATATTTTTGAGCCATGCGCATCATTTTCGGAGACTATTTGTCCTTTACTCAGAGATCCTAAACTAATCCTTCTAGTTTTAGGGAGATTAAAGAAGATTTTCATCCTTGGCGAGACGAAAAGTGCATTTGTAAGAGCATTTTTGTGATTCTTTTTGGCCTGAGGACTGCACAGTCTAGATACCCTTAGCATTGGCTTCAGCACTTTCTGGTCATAGTCACGCTTCTTAAGCTCTTGGTCAACTTTAGGGAAGGTTTTGAAAGTTTCAAACTCTCCTGACCGAATAATGTAGATATATTTCAGAGGTTCTTTTTCTTTAATCAAATACTGGTTCCTAATAAGTGCAGTTTTCTCAACAATCTCACTGAGCTTACTCAGGTGAGTTATTGACCAATGAGAAATAAATGGCATCTGCTTAAGAAATTCAGCAAGCGCAGTTTTATTTTTGCTGATGTAGAGCCCCTATGATAGTCCTGTAGTCATTCCTCCTAACTATAGCGAAGTGGCATTCCTCATTGCATTGAATCCTAGCCATCCTGGGTTTACCAGTAAGTCAAGCTCTTTCTCCAAAATTTCTTCCTGGGCCGAGATGGCCCATATCTATGAACTTCATCTCCTCATGTTGTTCGAGAGATGTTTTGAAGGTTGCTCGCCTCCTATAATAATTAAGTTGGAATTTACTGTGTGACTATTCGAGAAATGTTGGGCCTATTGTCAGGTATATAAACCGTCACACTCCCTTTGACAATAATATAGAAGGTCTTTCCTGTGCTCTCGTATTCAATGGCTATCTGACCTTTTTCTCATTTTTCATACTGGATGTTGAGCGCAAGAGCATTAAGGGTGTGGTATAACCCTCTCTGGCTGTTCAGATCACTAATGTCTTCCTCAAATAGAGGAAGTTTCTTGAGATAACTCATGATGGTATCTAGTTGTCCTCTGGTTCGTTTCTTCTTGTCAGTTTTAAGAGCGGTGATGGTATCCTAAATATGAGAACATTTCGTACTTCAAGTTGCTCTGGGGTCAGTTTAACTTCCATAGTTGATATATTTTATTTCATATTTTGGGGTTTTGGGGTTTTGGGGTTTTGGGGG